ATCAATTTTCAATCAAAGAATCAAAAACCTAACATCATGATCGTCATTTCCTCACGCATAGATCCATCATAACAGAATGGAGAAAACCCACAAAAAAAAAAAAAACAGAGATTCTACATGGGTTCTTCGTATACAAGCGAACACAAGATGAGATCACAACTAATCAAGTTCACCACCAAAGTAGCGAAAAAAAAGACGAGATTTTTTTTTTGAGATTCGACGAATGCAATGAATGTTATGAGTGATCTGATTACACGATTTCCGATCACGAGATTGGATCTAAAGAGTTAACGAAAGAGGAAGATATGATCGGAGTATACCTGAGAACGCTGCTTCTGTGGGTTTTTTTTTAAAGAGTGTGAAAGCCGCCGGAGATTCAGAATGTTAAACGACGAGTGTTTATGTTTATGTTTATATTCGGCGTTCAGTAACTACCACGTGGAATTTAGTAAAATCATTTTAAAAAAATTAAAAAAATGCCACTTTAAGTACCACTTCAAAAAAATGACACATTTTTGAAATCTTTACAAAAATATCATTTTTTCAATTTTTTTTTATATTATTTATGTTTGGGTTAATTATATTCTATTAGGATTTAGTTTTGAGTGTTTAGGGGATTTTAAGTGTCAAAACATTTTGTAAGGTTTAAAATTTTAAGATATAGGTTTTATAAATCTATAATTAGTGGCATTTTTGTAAATGGACACCCCTAAGTGGTATTCTTACAAATGTGCACACAAAAAATGGCATTTAATTTTAGGGGCAATTATAAAAATACCATTTTTTGTGTGCATATTTGCAAAAATATCACTTAGGGGTGTCTATTTACAAAAATACCACTAATTATAGATTTATAAAACCTATATCTTAAAATTTTAAACTCTAAAAAATGTTTTGACACCTAAAACCCTATAAACACTCAAAACTAAACCCTAATAGAACATAATTAACCAAAACATAAATAATATAAAGAAAAAATAATTTTGAAAAATGGTATTTGTAAAGATTTCAAAAGTGTAGCATTTTTGTAAAGTGGCATTATTTGAAATTTCTCTTATTTATTTTATTGAAAAAAAAATCGTTGAAAATTAATTATCAAACGTATAATATGCTATGAACATTAGACTACGATTATTCTAACCGAAGAATATGCGTTTGGATCTAGATAGATGTGCTATTCTTTCGAGAAGGTCCAAGCTTCTTTTAGTTATTAAAAAAAGTTTATTAATCAATTAGGTATTATATTTTTGTTGAATAAAATTTGTTTTTTTTTTTTTTAAAAGTCGTTGAACTGGAAAATTGAACAAAAAGTTAAGCTACAATTCCATATGTAAGCAAAAAAAAAAAAAATTTAATTGTTCTTTTTAAGTTGCATGCAAACAAATATTTTCCCTTTTTAAGGTGGACTTTGTCTTGTCTGGATTCTTAGACCACACAAGAGTATTCTTTCTGTTGTCATTGAAATTTTATTTAATTGCATGAATTTGATTGATAGTGAGGTTAAGTTAAGAAAAACATTTATTTTTCAATAAAATACACAACAATTTTTTTGGTCTTATATGATTTTCCTTGTTACAATTTGTTTCTTTTAATCAGTTAATTTTCTTTAATGTTCTTGTGGAAATTGAATATTTTCCATGGAAACAATGTTTTTTTTTTCCTTCAATCTCTTTTGGAATCATCAAGGAGCCATGTGTTGTCTGATCTTTATATTCCAACTTGAAGGAGATTATTCTAACTACAATTCTCATAAAAATGGAAGCAACTTGGACACAAAAACGATGCTCTTGAAGAAAAATCTGTGAAGAACAATTAGAAGCTTAACACCAACTTATCCCACATTAACTACAAACTTTTAATTATGACAGAAACTTTTCTTATGCAAAAATCTGATAATGTTTACATGATGAGAAAGAGAACTACTTGGTCTTGTCTTTTACATTTTTCTTCATGGATTTGCTTCACATGCGTTTCGGCGGAACATATTGTACACGCTCTTCTTGGCATAAGTGCTGCAGCAAATCACCACAGAGCAAAAAACAAAATCAAACAAGTGAACAAAACAGTAATGAAAATTGCGGTTTTGCTTATCTTTTCGAAGCCATGTTCTAATTTTGGTAACACAAAGCTTATGCGTAACTGAGTCCAATTTCAAACCATGAAGATACTATATTGTCGCTCCTTATCGTTTACCTGCATTTCCTCGGGGAGTGGCTCAGAGACGGCAAGAGTGTAGCAACCAGGAGCAAACTTCCCTGTAACAACATCAAGCAAACAGCAAATCATAAGCATATACACAAGAAGCCAAACTATCTTGAAAATCTTCAGATCTAAAGCTACATTCAGATTTATATTAGAATTAAGCCTCTGAGCCACATTCTTCTAGGAACAGGACATCACATAACTCTTGTATGTCATCGAAGATCTCAAGGTCCTTGATCTTTTAATACAAGAGAGATGAGATGATGAATATAAAAGTAATCTTTATCTCACCATCTAATATCTATCAGAGTATAATGATGGGACAACATCGATTCGATGGAAAGAAGAAGCTACACTGTTCGCTGAGCTCAAATCGAAAAGTAGTCGATCGTTAAAGGTATAAGTAAAGAGAGTGATCAACATACCGATTCTTAACCACCTAGCTGACCAGCTTCTAGTTGGATCCATCACAGAGATTATACTGCAAACAATCTTAATATCATCAGCAGCTACGAATACAAAGATATCAACTTACAAAAAGAGACAAAGCCCCACTATAACCCTCTCGCTACAATTTCTGAAAAAAATGCTCTTAAAGCAGTAACCTTTGAGCAATTTGTCACTGATTATGTTACAATCTAAACCACTAACCCAACAAGAATGCAAGTTCACTAAAATCTCAGAAACCAAGAAGCATCAATTTTAAACATTCAGAAAGGAATTTAATTTCATCCTAAGCAGAATCACTCCAAAGATCAAAACTTTCCAACGAATACCCATCAAAGTAAAATCTTTTCGAACCCTAAACGCAAAATTAAACTAAAGGGTTTTCGATTTCAGGAAATACCCATTGAAATTAGGAGTAGTAACCTCCACAATACGCTCATGATCTTCTTCCATCTTGAAGAAAGGACAATTCTCGCACCCAGCGTCCCTAAACTGTTGAACAAAAAACCCAGAATCTTACAAAGAGGAAGAAAAAAACCCTAAATCGAAACAGTGAAAGAACCCTAAAAGGAACCTGGTCATAGGTTTTGACGAGTCGGCAACGAAGACAAGCTCGGAGCTCATGGCCAAAGCTAGTCGGAATCTGAGCTGGTGCACTTGCCATTCTTCTCAATCACTATACTGAAATTTCTCTTCCCAAGTTCCAGTTTAATGTTTGATTTTCTTCTTCTCGGAAGGAAAACGAAAGCATCTCTCTCTTTACAATCATTGAGCCGTAATTGGGCTTTATTGAAGGCCCATCAAAAGAATTCTTGTAAAATTGGCGAAGCGCCAAAAGTTGGATTTTTTTCTTCTTCTTCCTTGGTTTCGCCCTTTGAAGTA